CACGTTCGGCAACTTGTTGTTTATGCAGCATCGTAATTTGACAGTGTGGATCACTGCTGATGATATCAATCATTGGATTGTCTGGTCCGGACTCGATTATTGCAGACTGACGTCTATTGCTGGAATATTGCCAAGTGTTAACAGGTTCACTTCAGATTCCCATGGTCTAATGCATAATGATACAGCCCGGCCAAGTCAGACACGATGTACTTCATCACATAGATGCTGGGTGATGTAAATGGTTTAGGCATCGCAAATGTCAGGGATAGGTGTTGAGTTGTTTGTGTAATTGTTTGAGAAAATATCACTGCTAGAGATAGAAAGGTCACATGTATGTCTAGCAGTCAGCAATGACAGGGACTGGTTAATCTCCCAGAATAGGTCTGTGAAGTCCCTGACCAATTACCCTTACTGGTTGGCACTGAATCCTGGCAATTATGGTGGAGTTCGGAAATAGCGTTTGTTTTTTAACACCTACATGTGCAGGTACTACTGATGGCTGTAATATAGAGAAAATATTTAACTAACTTTGGGCCTTAAATTGAGGATAAAATGTAAGTTTTTTTGCGTTGCCAATTAGCATGATAAGTATAATGAAATCATTAAACCAGGACAAGTGTTTCTGTATTTTCTGACATATTTTTTTCCGTTTTTCTATTTTTAGATTTGTTTATATTTTTACAAAATATCCATGGAAATTGAAATTGAAAATATTGTACAAGGGTGTATTTCTGGAATTGTTTCAAATTGACGGAGGGCCTTTTACAGACTGTTCTTAACTTGAAATCAAACTTGTAACTAAGTTATACTATTGACATGTACTTAATTCTTTCAGAATGACTTCACATGAATTTTAGCTATGTTTTGGCATACAGTGGACCGAGTTCACCTGTACAGTGCTGTTCCAGTGAAATTGTCTAGATAAATGAATCTCTTGATTAACAAATTATGGGTACAAAAACTGTCCCATTTTATATGTGGCAGGGCATGGCGTTATCTCAGAGATGACATCCTTACTTTGTCAGCTTGCTGATGGGCTTATCCTCTTTGGTCATGTGGACAAGGTGTTTGACCTCGGGATAGAAGATATGTGGTTCGAATCCCATCACGGGAATCAGATATTTTATGCCAGCTGCATTGGCAACCAACATGGCATTGTGTATGTTCATATTAAATTTGAACAATATGTTTCAGTATCCTAGTAATACAAACAATAAATACTAGATACATAATGTATGGTAAATAAGTGGGTAGGGTTTTACACCGCTTTTAGCAATATTCCAGCAATATCACAGCGGGGCACCCCACAGGCTTCACACATTGTACCCATGTGGGGAATCAAACCCGGACCAAGTCGTGTCAAGCAAACGCTGTAACCACAAGGCTACCCGACAACCCACGTGATGAAATAATGTACAGTAAACTACGGTTATAACGAACTCAAAGGGACTACTATTTTTAGTTCGTTATAACCGTAGTTAGTTATAAGCATATATACAGCATAACTACAGCAAATAGTCGGGACTAAAAAGTAAGTTTGTTATATCTGTCAGTTCGCTATAAGCGTGTTCGTTATAACCGTAGTTAACTGTATATGAATTTTAACACTGGTATCACACATGCTGGCACGTTCTATGTAGGCATAAGTTGTTATTGCGAGTACAAACCCATCTGTTGCACGCAGATCAAGTATTGTCTGCACTGTCTCCATAATTGCAACTGTAAAGGCTTTTATTCATCAGTGAGCAGTGAGCACATGATGGTTGTTTAGAAGGTATTTCTAGCTAGACATGTTGGTTTCAAGCCAGCAATCAATACTATCTGTCTAAGAAGGGGCCGAGGTGTCTTTGAACCTTTGTTGCAGCACGCCTTGTCTTCAAGATGTATGTTTTATTGTGATAAAGTCTTCGGTCTCCAGGTCTTGGAGAAAATTTCCTGCCGACATACAGGCTCTGAAGCACCGGATGTGTGCAGAGAGTATAGGACTGATTTCTTTTGTCACATCTTGGTAATTAGGTGGAATATTGTGGGAGTCTTTACTTACTTACTCACAACCTTGAGGCCATCATGACTGATCACCTACTAGGATAGATCTTAAGCAACCCATGCTTGTCGTAAAAGGCGACTATGCTTGTCGTAAGAGGCGACTGACGGGCAGGATCGGGTGGTCAGGCTCGCTGACTTGGTAGATGTATTTCATCGTATCCCAATTATGTGGATCACTGCTCATGATGTCAATCACTGGATTGTCTGGTCCAGACTCGATTATTTAAAGACCGCCGACATATAGCTGGAATATTGCAGAGAGTGGCGTTAAACAACAAACAAACAAACATCCATGCAATTATACTCTATTAGGACCATTAACATTAAAGCTTCCATAACTTATAAAATAAACACCTTAAATAGTTCCAATGACTATGGCAGTTATTTTGTTTAGAAAATTGTCCAAACTAGTTCGAACTGAATCTCTTTATTGAATTTGAGCCTTTGACGAGCATAATACATATTTATAATTTCTAATAAATGATATTTTGCAATATGGAAACATGCAAGGTTAATAATCACTTTAACCAACAAACAAACAAACAAACACTTACTTGTCCTTGTGGTTTGTGTGGTTTAATGCCGTACTCAGCAATATTCAAGCTATATGACGGCGGTCTGTAAGTAATCGAGTCTGGACCAGAATATCCAGTGATTGACACCATGAGCATTGTTCTATGCAATTAGGATACAATAACATGCAATAACACCAAATCACTGAGCCTTATTACTCAATCCATTTAGGCACCAATTCCAATATCTGTAGGTTGCTGGGGACCTATGTTGTTGCCCAGAATCTCTGCAGGTTGTATCTGAATGAGGATCAAGTGGTTATATTGTGTAACCTGGTTGATTGTTTGTCATCATGGCTCAAATGGCATTGATTGCTCATGCTATCAACCACTTGTTTGCATCATTTAGAAGCTGTGGGGATACAGATTGAATATTGCCAGCTGATAACACAAAATATGAAGGGCATTGAGGGTTATGAAATGATGGATTTTATCAGTAAAATATTAAATATTCACATTTTGGTGGTTTTCATGATAACACGCTACTTTTGCAATTTTATATCCTTCGGGAGTGTCATGAACAAAATTGACAAACACCTTGAAAATGATTGCATCTTCTTTTGTATGCAAGGAGACAAATTCCACCCCATATGAGAAATGATTGACACTCATGCCAAGGAGGTCTACCCAATCATACTCTTCTGTGACTCATAGTACAGCTGTTCCTGGCATGGTGATAATACTGGCTAGTGTCACAGCATATGCTCGTCTTGGGGAGTGGACATATTGACTCAGCCACTGCATAAACATCACTGACTCGCAGAACATCGTCAAGGGGTGATTTTGACTGCAAAATCAGAAAGCATGTGTAAAGATGGTTGACGGTAATGAAGGGGACACCATAATAAATTTGAGTGAGTGAGTGAGTGAGTTGGGATTTTAATTTGAAGTTGGAGATCAGCTTACTGTTTCAAAAAGGCCAGGTGGTAGACTTTTACCACTTCAGTGAAATCAAACATCATGTTGAAGGCAAACAAGAATCATTGGTATGAATCTGCAATTCGAACACATTACCTGCACATCCTAGCATGGCTAAGGGAGGCAACCATTGTTTTCAAACCCTGAACTGACAATATTTACATAAGCTATAGGACAATTTTATCTTCCCTGAAAGTTGATGTAACTGAGCAGCTTGGCTGCTGACTGCTGACTAAATGAAACTTTTGTCAAGCTACAAGATTAAATGTACAATATTAATCATGTAACAAAGCTTTTGTTATTTATGAAAACAATAAACGTCAAACATTTATCTGTATGAGTGACTGAGTATGGTTTTATGCCACTTTTAGCAATATTCCAGCAATATCACTGTGGGGACACCAGAAATGGGCTTCACACATAGTACTCCTGTGGGGAATTGAACCCGCGTCTACAGCATGACAAGTGAATGCTTTAACTACTAGGCTACCCCTCTGCCCGTATCTGCATGATCTCATCTTGACGATGGTGTCATGTTCCATGACATTATTGTTACATCACTGAAAATTAAAGTGTTTTTTACATGTGTCACCAGTGCCAAGAAAAAGTTCACTTATGAATCTTGTTATTGCAGTACTGCACAGTATTATATATAACAAAAATGTTCATGTATGCTACAATCCTCAGGTCATCAGGGATTCATGTCTAGACTTGGACAGTGGCCAATATTCACCAATATTGGAAAAATGTCACTTAAAATTTTTCAAACTTGGATATAAACTTTCCCACTCTAGATTAATGCTGATACAATTATCATGTGAAGGTGAACTTCAGTGCAAAGGATGTACAACAAAAACTAGGTACTTTTTGTAATGTAAATTCTGCTAGGAGTGAAGTTTATTTAGAGCTTAGAAATACATACTTTTCACATCCTTTTCTCCTTATAAACATGCTGCTTATTCCTGCACCATGACTAAGGGATTGCTGCATTTAATTTGATCAAAACCAATCTAGATTATGAAAAGAGGGAAGTCTGGCTATCTATATTCCACAGAATTATTTTTTTTTGAAATGTGAAATGTATTGTATAACAGACTTCTAAGACTATGTGGTAGTCTACATCCAGGTCAGAATTGATAAACCATGTATCACTAAATATCAATAGCAGTGCAATATACTTACATGGATAGAAGATATACTTTAGTAAACACTATAGACCAGGCATCACATATAGCGTTACGGTACGTATCACCCACTGACTACAATATGATATGTTTGTATACCAGTAGGTAAACACCGATGAAAGCCACTATAACATGTCTTAGTAAGGACATTGGCTGTAGGCTTCAGTGAGTTGGGCTAAAATTAGAAGCGGTGCGACTGTATTTGCAATAGGTTCAGAGACAACGTGGCTTGTACCCTGACACGGTGTCTCAGAACTCACACATATTTTAGAATTAAGTGCGTCTGTTTTGGAATTAACAGCTAATTAAGTGGACTTGGGACATTGGAGGATATTGTGAATGGTTGCTTGTCTTGATGTGGAGGTATTTCAGTTACTGGACATCCGTGAAGGTCAGAGGTTATGTTACACTCCGGTCAGCTGAATAACCTGTTTTACTGACATGACAGGTCTGTTTTCAAACTGACCACTGTTATCTGCACTGATGGCCACTGACAGACACACCTTTAACGAGCTACCCAGGACCCCAGGTAACTTTGCATCGGGAAAGTGATTTACTGGTTCGTTGGAGGTAAAAATAACCAAGCTCATTAGTGCAGTGAATTTGTGCCAAGGACTTAGAAGCTTTTTTCAGAACTTTGTTGTTTCAAAGTTTGACAAGGACACATGGACAGATGTGTATGCATCCATAGAAGATTAAACAGATTAGGTTCTTCAGTGCATAGGAAACATCTCTCATGAACTTTCCTGTCACCATATGGTCATATGATCTGTTCCACTGGGGTAGTGGTTCCAGGAAAGGAAATATTTCACCGAGGACATTGTTGTGAATTTATCAATGTTACCAGTACCCTGCCTACATGAAGAGTTGCTGATGCAGGGTAGATAGAAAAGCAGTCTACCTTCCATATCACAGCTGTTTCTGAGTCTATGCTGGGATGACACACCTCCAAAGGTTCACGGACATAAGAGGATTCTGTGGAAGATAGGAAGTTTATTGCCAACTTTGAATAATTCATTCAGGCTTCCAACTTTCATAGTCTCAACGGGAGTATTTATGAATCATTTTGCAGATTGTGACTTAAGAATGGTTAATTTTGAAGTCAAGTCATCCACTCATAATATCTGACAGTATCGATTTATTGGTTCTGAAATAACCAACAATACCAACACGTGAAGATTATTTAGACTTAATCTAAGTCTGTATTTCTTAGAAGTTGCTGTTGATTGGCTGAAGCACTGGTTGTAAGAGGAGATACGGTTTGGTGTAACTTCAGTTATCTCCCAATAGGATATTAAGCTGACATTTATTCCCATCAGAGTCAAAACGATACTGTTGTTGTCACTCAAATTGCTTCATTTCACTTGTGATCAAATTCTTCATTGGGTAAAGGCTTATGAAGTGCCCTTTAGTGCAACTAGTTTTATGTTAGTCTGTTGTGGGTCTTTAACATTTTGACATTATTTTCTCAACACATTTATATTCACATGAGTGAGGTAATGTCGTTTGGATGACAAATGTCCCAAGGATGTAAAGAATGCGCTCTACATATCTGATGCTTATTCAGTTTGTACTGGAGCTAGTTCCTGTTCTGTCAATGTGGACACTGCTTCAGCAGATTACAGAGGGGCATTGTGCAACATTGTTTTGCAGTGCAAAATGATATTTATTCTCTGTGATGTGTAGTTCTATTTTCTGTGATAACACAGGTTATGAATGTGTGATAATTCACAAAGGCAACATCTATAGCTATTGACACTGCTGGTTAATTTGTGTCTGTGTATATGCATCTTAGTTGAGGGGTTGAACGCAGAGTGAATTTGCATTAAGAAGTTTGTGGTTTTTAAAGGCATGTGTAAGTGTTTTGAAAAGTGATTCTTCGAAGACTCAGTACAGTAACTTAATGTACACAGTGGAAGGAACACATCATCAGTGCTGTGAAAGAAGAAACTGTTGACTACCACATTGAGGAGGTAGTGACTTGCCTGAGATTGAGTTACAGGTTGTTTTCCTAGAAACTAATTGTGTGAAATAACACTGTTACACGCATGTTGGACTGATGCAGGGATATAAATAAGCCGATGCCAATTTGCGTCATGTTAAAGGTATCCTGAAAGGTAGAATTTGAAACTTTTAGCGTATTTTCTTATGTGATTCAGGGAATAGACTCTCCAGTCTATTTTCTGTCACATGTAGGGATCTTTGCGAGACAGTGACTGAACACTGTGTTCACCCATCCATGAAACTGTCAGTCTTGTGAATTATAGGCGACGGAGCACAAGTCTCTATCGATACAGATAGATAGGACCACTCAGTACCTTCCTGTCTGATAGGTGTTGTTGCACTTGACTTCAGACATCAAGAGACCACAAAGTGCTTCTACAGAATCTCTGAAGAAGGCCTCCAAGCGCAACAGAAAAAATACATCAAAGTTTTCTGAAATATAAGGCAACTTTTTGATAGGTTTATTAGATGTTTGATTTCAATGTCAACCTTTGGTCATTTCGATGACATCTTTACTGTTTCTGAAAGATCTATCTGACAGAATTGATCAAACAATCAATGAAGATATGTTTGTTGTTTGAAAAGAAGCGGAAATTGAGGGGAATGAAGAATAGTCATAGAGAGTTTTAAGCCACACTGGAACCTCCCCAGGAAATAGTTTTCTTGTTCACCTCGAATTTGGCCAAGGTTGATACCAGAAGCGGTAAGAGTAATATGTTTCACAGGATTGTGTTGTAACTTAACAGGCGATGGATCAATATCATGTTATTGCCCAATAGTGTCTTCCTTTCACCTCTGTGCAGACAACTAGAAACTGAAGAAAAAGTGATGATGATACTGACCAACTGGGACAAAGTGACACTTTAAATTGCAGCATTATTCATGACTGCCTTCTGATTGTAGAAAGTCGAGATAGTTTTATTAGTCTTGACGGAGGCTTCGGGAATATGCTGGAATGCATTGATTGAGAACAGTTGAGAAAACAGTGCATCATTTGTGCAGAGTTTGTTTTAAGCTGTGAGCCTTTGGTGAAGTACCAGGAACTAGTTCAAGTTGGGATTTTCATGATTTTTTTTACCATCTGTGGATTGATGGAAAATTTGTAGAATCGTTCTTGACAGAATTTTGAACAGCTGAGGGAATATCTGTCTAAGGCAAGCAAACAGAAATGTTATGAAAAGAGAATCGACACTGTGAAAAAAGAAAGAAGAAAAAACAAAATTTCATTGGAGAAGGAGTCTGTTGAAATTTTGCCAGAAGAGGAATTGTCAGGTTCGAATTGCCAAGTGCTTAGAAGATTTGTTTTGTGCAATATTGAAGAATCTGGGCATGCCGGAAGGGCAAAAAGTGAAATTCTGTAATTGGATGGAAATAATTTCTTGTTGATGCAGTCAAGACGTGATGTGGAAATTAATTTGAGCCAAGATCCCAAGGAGATGGAGTGAAAATGTGAAATTCTTGTTTTTAAGGTATTATGAAGTCCGTATTATTATGTAGGCCAGCCTAGTGTGCAGGCACTAGCATCTGGGCTGGGGAATCGGTTAAATCACAATTTCAAAGTTGATATTAATGGAATTGTACTTTTGGGTTTTAAAGGATTGTAAAACATGTAAAGTTTACTATACTAATTGAATATTATCATATAACTTTATTGTTTATGTCATTCAGAAGATAATTAAACAATTATTGCTAAAGTAATAGGAACTTGATAAGGCTAAGCATAGATCTAAATTTAATAATTAATTTGTGAAAAACATGATTATCAGCTTTGTTAATCAAATTAATAGTCAAAATAATGTATGGTAGAAACGTGGTGTGAATAAAAATGTCATAATGAAACTGAATACAATTTAATACCTTTTTTCTCACATTAATAAAAAAATGTATAAAAAAGAAATTCCTTTAAAACTAATCTTGTACTTTTGATAAATAGGAAAGAATATAAACAATATAAAAACATAATCGTCAAACAGCAAGCAACCAACAACACTGTTCCTGCATGGTGACTAGAAAACTGTTGATGCTGTGCATCAGGTGATGAGGAGTAGTGTGCTGTACAGAAAGTCTGTGGTATCTGTGGTTTGGTCAATATGTAGGTGGTGGGCACGGGTGGCCCAGTCGCCTAAGGCTCCGCAATTCGCTGTGCAGAGTTGCGTCCCTTGGGCATGCCAGAAACCTATGATTGTGGGTTCAAATCCCGGTTTGCCTAGATTATGTTTCTAGGTTTGTCAGCACCACACCGTGCCCCTGGGTTTCACCAAAATGGTAAACGTCTGAGACTTGCATCACTTCAAGCTTTCCTCCCACATTAAGCTGGCAAGCCGCGATATAACTGGAATACTGTTAAAAGCGTCATTAAACCCAACTCACTCACTCAATATCTGGGCTACATATAAAGTCTAGATTACTTGCTTTGGTCCTAGAAATATTTTTATCCGGCTAGTGTAACAAACATGCCATCATCAAGATGTGATAAAAATACTGAAGAAAAAAATTAGGGATCCTGAAAAAAATTTGGGGGGTGGATGGGTTGATACTTTTTGTAGTGAAGACTGAGGACAGGATTTTATAAAAGTGTCCCCCCCTCCAAATATTTATGATCCCTAACTTTTTATGTTCAATATATATTTTTCTTGACTTGACAACATTACTTGATAATCATATTTGCAAGATCTCGTTTTGAAAAGTATTAGGCTCAATGTATATCGGTTGAAATGGGAACATGCAAATATTCTTATGTAAACACGAATTTGATGAGATTAGAATGCTGTAACCTAGTCTTAATCACTGTATTGATGTCTTACGATCCTGGTTACATATAACACATTACTGCTTCTATAAGATAGTTATGGCAATAACCAAATTGGACCTGCGTGGCGTTGGAGTCTGGCAAATATAATTGATGCCAATTTCTTGTGGCTAGGTTGGGTCAGCTTTGCAGCTATTATGGATCTGTATTTGAGCTGTGAAAGTTAATTACCATGATTACCCTACGCTGCGATCTTTGACCTACTTTGCCAGTTTCCACAAGTTAGTTAATGTTCTTAGCGTAAACACTGGGGGAGCTAATTGTTTACCACCACATCGCTGGGTCCCGGAGCTGGTGGGAGGGAAACAGACCTCACAACATTTGCATACCCCTATGAATTCTTTAGTGATACTTCACAGGAAAGAGAGCTGAATTGGTGCCATTACTTATTCTGGAAATAGCTGAAGTCATGAACTTCAAGGGTGCTTTCTCAGTCTTTGAACCTTGTTACATGAAGATCTCAGATTTGTGTGATCGCAGACTTTGTGTTTTTCTTTGACAGTGAATGAATTCTTTTGAGTGAATAAGACTTCAAGTAGGTAATAGAAGTGAGAAGTGACAAAGTTATCTCCCTTGGTATAGTCCTTGCTGTCCAGGTTTTGATCGTGTGTTTCTAAATACATTTTTAATCTTTCAGAGGATATTTTTCCTTGAATGGAGCATGGGACCTTTCATTGTAGACCAACCAGCTCTTTGTTTCTTTATTCCAAATATCTATATTTTAAGTTTGTCCAGTCAGACAGTATTCTTTTTAATATGTAATTGTTAAAAAAGGGAATTGTTTTGGTGTGAATAGGTTTTAAGACATAATTACCATGGTACAAAAAAAAAGATTATATTTATTTATATAAAACAAGAAAATAAAGAAGTTTAGTTTGACGATGAGACTTGATAATATTTTAATTATGTTTTTTCAGAGGATATTTTTCCATTTTGTTTCGCAGGCCAGATTATCTATTTAGGCAAATTCCAGGATCTTTTATTAATGGCATAAAGTGATTCCCTCCACTAAATTTCAACAGTTACCAATTCCATTTTAGGGACATCCTAATATAGTAATCCTTTGATGATACATGTATGTCATATAGTAAGTACTCCCGAAAATATTGGTCAAGTGATGAGCTATTATCAGAAACTACACTAAAGCATGAATCTAGTCCAATATGTTCATATTTCACGAAGTATTGTCAGAAACAAATATAACCAGATCTGAAGTGTATGGCACAAACATCACAATTGCCCTGAGTGAGAGCGCCACTTTCTTCTGGTAGAGAGACCCACAACCCCCTTGAGATTGTTCATTTGTCTGAGGTCATAATCAATATTCAATATGACTGGAGCTCTGGGGAGATATTTGTCTTGGAACAGTTAGCATCTGTGGACGTGATGTTATCACACATACTGCACCGCAAGATCTCCATGAAATGGGGAGGCTTCAAAAGCCATCCATTCACCCAAATTACGAAGCATGACAAAACTGAATTTAATGCTTTGCTGGTAACGCTGTTGGCTCAAAGATGGCCAGCTGGGTGGTGGTGAACAGTCTTATTCACTGAATTGTCATTCTTCATGATTGAAATTTAGGATTGAAAATCATGATTTTTTCCATCGAAATATTTTTAATATTTGAGCTTAGAGATTTTAATTTGAAAGAGGTTGATCAGGATGAAAAAATGATTATTTTGGTTGTGCTTGTTTCCTCTGGAGGAAACTCCTCATCATTGATTGTCATCTTGTTTTGAGGGAAACTCTGGTACCTCATTTATAGGGCTGGGTATTTGTGATTTGTGTACCAGTTGTATGAGCCAATGTATGATATGTATGATGTCTTGCAATGATGTGCAAGAAGTTTGTGTAGATATGAACTTTACAAGAGGACCGTGACTGAGAACGTGAGTTCCTGTGATGTGATATGTGAACCTATTAAAACTCCCCAAATTGTTAGAGATTTAATATGTCAAATGTAGAGTAGCTACAAGGGTCATGAACAAATGAAACAACATATGAATTAAGTACAAGAAATAGAAAATTGGAAGAAGAAAAATATGATGATTTTCATCAGAAAATAGATCGAGGATAAAAATGGTTCCATTATGAGTATTGTGAAGTTTCATAGTCTCTGTGTCCAACAATATTCTAGAATACACAATCTGTAGATTGTAGATACTCTTTTCTTATTATGTTGCGAGGGGGCACAGGTGGCCCAGTCATCTAAAGTGTGCAGAGTTGCATCCCTTTGGCACACCAGGAACCTTTGATTGTAGATTCGAATACCGATTTGCCCCGATTACTAGGTTTGTTACCCATCCATGTGCTCATGCGTTTCACCAAATTTGTAAATTTCTGAGACCTGCATGACTACGAATTTCCCCCAACTTTATGCATGATATAACAGAAATAATGTTCAAAGTGGTGTTAAACCAAACTAGCTCACTCCTATCAATCAACTTTTCAATAGACTGAATAGCACTGGGGACCAATTCTGCCCTACAATTCCCATTGTCATAGTCCTGGCATTGCTTACAGAAATTCTGCACTACAATCATTGTTATTTATTTGTTACTGTACATGTGAAAATTCCTGTCGTTTGAACAAAAATATGAATGCCACTAGTGTCCGGGCTTCAACTGATCCCCTTATGACCAGTTATTTGTTATGTATCACTTTGTTGACTGATTAGCTGCTTGCATGTTTGGACATTGGTGGATGACTCATTACCCCACTCCCCCTTGTATTTACAAAGCAAAGACATAACTACATGTACCTTGAATGTTTTAATTCCTCATGTAAAATTGTCAGTAACACTTGCCTTCAACAAGGATGGCTGTTTTGTTTAATTACTTTGCGTACAGTTACAGCAAACAAGCATTTCACAAATGTGAAATAAAATTAAGATTTTGAGGACTATCTTATTATTTACTGCTTAGTCTGTAACTAATTATTTGGTAAATTAATAAAATTTCAAAGGAGGTCAGCATAGGAAGCAAGTTAGTCCTTTGAGTTTAATAAGTTTTCTTTGATCATCCAACCTTGTTATTCCATTGCCCTATTCCAGAATGTAGTCACACCCCAACTGTTATGTCTACTGGACCAACAATGTTTTTCCGCATTATTTTCAGATTTTAGTTACAGCCTATTGAGTCTTATGAATGTTTACTAGAAGTGCCCGGGTTCAGTGACATGGTTCATTGCATGTTATTGTACCTGGATGTTGGACATTGCTCATCTCAATCACTGGTTTGTCTGGTCCTGACTTGATTAATAACATACCTTAATTAATATAGCAAAGTTCAGTGTCAAACAACAAACGAACAGTTCTATCCCAAAATTTTTTACTTGACTCTATCTGGCTTGAAACTAGGGGTTAAGACCACAGAGTTTAATGTTAATGCTGCAGTATTAGTGAGAGATATTTTATTTGTAGGACTGGCATCAATTTCAATACCAATTTACATTTGAAATGTCCTTGATTTCGAGTTAATTTTTGTCTTATACTGCCCAATATATTTATAATCAGAATGTTTATTCTGATGTATTCCTCTGCATGAAGACCTGGTGGCACCTCCACATGATCAGTGTCGAGACTTCTCAGTTTAGATATGAGTTAATGAAGCGTTCAGACCATTCTGATTTCTGTATCTTTAAAATGAAAATACAGCG